CTGCTTTAACCCAGTTAAGGTATAATAATATACCCTTTCCTCTTTTAACCCTTCTGTGACTGTCTGCTTCCTCCCCATGTTGCAGGCAGCAGGTGTGTGTTTCACGTTTTTATGATACTAGGTTATCTCAAGAACCACCTGCTTCCAGATAAACTTTCAAAGAATTAAGATTAACATTACAAGGCCTGCATGTTTTTAGAAGATATCAGATGAATGGGTACAAAAGGTGGGGTTGTTTTGATGGTGGAGCCAAGATTGTGAAATGGTCTCTTCCTTGTGGAAAGTTGCCAGTCTTGCTCTCTCTCTCTCTCTGCCCCCTCCCCTGCTTTTAGGCATTCATTGAATACTTTTTAAATTGTTTAGCAGGCTTTCAATGTTTAATGATCTGCTGCTTTTAGGCATTTGAAGCTTTGCTGCTTTTAATTGTTATTGTTGCTGTACTAGTTTAGTATTGTGTATTGTTTTTAACCACACTTACTGTTTTTTGCTGTTATGATGCTCTTGTAAGTAAGTCACTTTGAATGCCTTTTCAGAAAAGCAGCATTATAAAACAAAGTCAAGCAAAAATTCAGCAGGCAAAGCTTTTCTCTGCTGAACTTCTGCTTGTCACACAACTGTTAAAGCCACTTGGAGCTCTGCCAAAAGCATGCTGGCAATCCCCATCAAGCAGTTCCTCACTCTTTTCAGCCCGATCCTAGGCATTTTTAGTTAACATTATCCACAACTATATATTCAGTGGGATGTTGTTGACACTGAAGACTTTAATCACCTTTTATTTGTTGGGATTGGCAGTCTAACTGCGTCCAACCTTGGGAGTCATCACTACTGGTAAATACGGTCAACAGAGTGTCTGTCTCACCCTTTAAACCAGTGGTTTCCAACCTTGGGTCTCCTGATGTTGTTGGGACTAAAATTCTCAGAAGCCTTAACCACTAGCTGTTCTGGCCAGGATTTCTGGGAGTTGTAGTCCAAGAACATCTGGTTGTCCAAAGGTTGGGAACCGCTGCTTTAAACATTCTGTAAGCAGCAGCAGCAGCAAAATTTGTAGGAGTGACAATGTGCTTCCTAACAGGAGGCAATTGTGGCCCTCCAGGGTTTGGTCTGCATCCCCTTCATAATCCTTCCTTACTGACTGTGCAGGATAGGGTAGGTGGACGTTTGAGGCTAAAACAAGAGCACAAAGCAAAAACCTGGAGGGTCACAGCTACCCACCCCTGCTTTATAACAGAGAATCTCCTAGTCTTTCAAATGTTGCCAGATTACAGCCCTCGTAATTAATGGTCGTTGCTCCTGCTGGCTGGGATTAATGGGAATTATTTTAAGTCCAGTTCCAGAGGGCAACAGATTTTTCTCCTCCCTGCTTAATAATTTATTCTCTGTACCCCCTTCTCCACAGATGGGTAAAATGCAGCCCTGGTTCTTACTGCTGACTGGGGCAGGTAGGATGCAGTTAGGGAATTAAAACAGAGAGCTTGTAACTTCATGGCCTTCTATTTTTAAAATGCTCACTTTACTGGCACAATATTTCAGTTGTACACATCTGCCCTTTTGTGCTTGGCCTGCTGAAAAGTCTTACATTTTCTCCCTTCTCTGTAACCAACCTAAGATTCAGATTTTTTTAGGTTCCAGATGCGGCAACCATATAGTAATGGGGTTATTCCTGCCTCTTCCTGTTGCTGATAGTGCTCCCGACCTGCTGGTTGTTCTTCTCACCCATCCATTCTTATGGATCACTAAATATGACATTTAAGGACTACGCTTCTGAACTAGAAGAGCTGGCAAAACATGCTATTTTAGAACTGGAATGGAAGCAGGAAACACCACGACCTGAATATAAGTGGTTTTTTGTTTTTTGTTTTTGTTTTTTGCAGAACCTGCATAAAGCAGATCCTAAATCAAATCAAAAGCAGGACCCTTTACCAGAATAGGAAACTTTCAATTACTTGACATAGAATCATATATATTTTCTAGAAGGAACCCCAAACTATGATTATAGCAGGTTTTGCCCAATTCAGAATTTGACTTTCTAGATATGAGCTCTCTGGAACCCTGTTACGTGAAGATTTGCAACTAGTTCTTTGGCTGTGATTAGCCAGTCAGACATTTGAAAGCAGTGATCACAGAGGCAATTTGCCTGGTAAGACTCCCTTCACTCACCCTTGTACTATGGGATTCCTGATGAATGGGGGATACCTATATATTTTGTGTGCTAGGAAAACTGATCATGTGAAACCACAATAATAATAATAATAATAATAATAATAATAATAATAATAATAATAATAATAATAATAATAATAATAATAATAATAATAATAATAATAATAATAATAATAATAATGGTTGTAGTTTTGGGAAAGTATATGTATATATATATCTATAACATTTTTGGAAATACATGGTGTGGGATGCTGTTCCTCATTTTGAAACAGAATCACCTTTTAAAATATTATTGGGGTCTGGGGGGGGCAAACATTTATAAGAACTGCAACAAAAGATTGAAGGATGTGGGAGGGGAAGAAACAACGTGTAGGAAATATCTGTTTGCCTTGAAGCCTCCATTTTGTTCAAAAAGAGACAGACGGGTCTGCAATGGAAATGCTTTTTTTACAGGCAGGACTTGAATTGCTAGCCTCACTTGAGGGGAGGCACTTACCCTATAATCCTCTGAAATAGCAACATCAGCTAATCAGCAATTACTGTGAATTTTAATCAAACATAAATTTACCTCATGGGAATCTGAACAATGAATTCTACACTTGAAACGGTAGGAAGTTGCTGTGGAAGCACCTACAGAGAGGCTGAGTAAAGAGAGGTCTCAGTTCTACTCTAGACACATGTTAAAAGACTCTTGTGCCTTTTAATAGCTGCATGGCACTCAGAAATTTGACAGTCAAATCTTTTAAGGAGGCAAGAGATTTACTGGGGAAAGTTCCTGCACAGAAACTCTACACAGAAAGTTAATGGAAGTAAGTTCATCAGAAAAGAATGATCTTAAGAGGTTTGGTTCAATTTACACTCCAGAGAGAAGACTGGGGCAGAAATGCTGAAGCTTTAGAGATACTCAGAATCATCCAGAAAGGCAAACAATTCAGAATTATCATGAAGTAAATGGGTGAAGAATGGCCCTCTGTGCTCCGTTCGAAAGACAGCATTGGTCTGAGAACTGCTGGGTACTCCCTTGTCATAATCACAAGTTAATATAGGTGGTGACCACGAGGAAAAGCTATCCCCCAAAAATCTCACATCTGCTTTGTAGTGGGCAAACTTTCTATTTCTGATGTCCAACTTGGTCAAAAACCAAAGCAATTGGTGTAGATATCTTATGGATAGGTGAAATGTGATACATCAAATTGTATATGCCGAATCTTGATAGGGTCCTTAAACCTCCCTATTTTGCAGCCTTCCTGAGTTGAAAACAGTGTTTGTCAATTAGATTGAGTCATAACACAGAGGTGGTGGGATACACTCAGCTTTGTGAATCCCAACTTGTTCATTTCTGACCAATGCCACATTATGACCTCTCAAATACTTTCCCCCTCCCCATGTTCAGTGCTTTGTTCATCTCTGCTGTAACATCCACCTGCTGATTTCAGCTAGCTTCGTTGGAAGGGTCCTTGCAAAACCTTTAGTGTCACTGTCCCTTTATTTCTCACATCAGATTATTAAAAGATCCTGTGCATTTGCTACCCAAAAGTGTATACTGCGAGGAACACTCACAGAGGGACCCACTGACTGTATGAACACAGTCCAGGCACAGTCACGTACATTCAACTCCCCATTCAGTTTAGTGTCAGTTAAATATCTGTGCATAATAGTCACAATCTGCTAGATACATCTCCTGTATAAGTGCTATTGAAATGAATCAGAGTTGCTCACAACTGGGTGTGATCTTGTGCGTTTCTTGTGCAGTCATTGCAATTAGGTTTGTAGAGATGAAATTTCTTACATGATAGGTATGGTGGGTTTCCTTTATAGAAGTCATAGGAAACTACCTTGTACCAAGCCAGATCACTGGTCCAAGTAATTTAGTACTTTCTATAGTAGGATACACAATCATGGACTTTCAAATATGTTTTGCCTAAAACTCCCATGAACTCTAGTCAATACAGGCAGTGGTGAAGGGCTGTAGAAACTGCAGTCCAGACAATCTGGAAGAGGACCATATTTACCCAATCTGATCTATACCAGCAGCACAGTGATTCCCAGCCTTGGCTAACCAAGGTGTTCTTGTACTGCAACTCCCAGAAACTCCACCCAGCACAGCTGGTGGTGAGGACTTCTGAGAACTGCAGTTCAAGAACACATAGGTTACCCAAAGTTGGGCACCACTGCATTAACAGATAGCCTTTGGCCAGGTTATCCAGATGTTTTGGACTTTCAACTTCTAGAAGCTTCAGCCAACATGGCCAATGTGTTTATGAGAGCTTTTGAACAAAATATTTGGAAGGACAAAGCTTCCTTGCTCTCCTGAATGACATTCTTTGGTAACATGTCTCAGGGGATTCAAAGATGATCCTTCCTAGTTCTACTGAAGATTTCAGGGACCAAATTTAGGATCTTCTCCATACAATGGATGAATTCTACCACCGAGTTACAGCTCTGGACTAAAGCTAGGATTACCTCCCACCCCTAGATGGAGACCAGAATACAAGATCCTCATTTTATAATAATATATATAATCTTCTCTTTAACAGGAGCATATTAACATCCGCAGACATTGTCAGAATAATTATCATTAGAATAACAATACAACAATAATAACAATAATAATAATAAAAAAGGGTAGCAGGGGACAGGTGAGGGGAGTCTATAGTACACAGTCCTGTGAGGAAAACAGCACAGCCTTGAGGAGCCTGCGCTGCCGCATCATTCAAGTGCCCCCTTCCATATTTACACACTTGCCTGGCGTCCACAACCCCAGCTAAGCTGAGGGAAAACAGTGCATTAAACACAAAATAAAACCCATCAAATAATCTTCCCCACCCACCCTCCCTAAAACCAGCCTTTTTTTGTCTCATTTGTTCCTTTTCCATAAAACTTCCCATCAGAAATACATTATTTACACATGAAATAAATAGAGCAGTAACCTGATTTGTGTTTGGCCTGTGGCAAACAGTCAGAGGTACTAGGGAAAGTATGGCTTGGATTCAAATCTATACAGAGCCGTGTGGGGAGCCGGGATCAGCCTGCAACCCCGGGCATGGCAAAGCCGGGCACCTTGCATATTTCAGGGCCTTGTATCCAATTGCCAGGAAGTGGTGTGAGGAGACTGGCCCCTTCCACTGTTCTTTGGCCCTTCTCCCCCATCCCCAGCCATCTTCTGGCCCCGGAGCAGTGGTTGCATCCCGCAGTCTCAGCACAGGATGGGTACACCATCTGCAGTCACAAGCCGTCCTGTGGTGGGGTCATAACTCCCTGCCAGGTAGTAGAGGTCTTGCCGGTCCTGGTATTTCTTGTTGCGGGTCAGCTGCTCGTAGTGTTCACGTTCAACCACCTGGCATTTGTGTGAGATGGTCTGGACATCATTTTCATCTTCGTGGCACGACTGGTACAGGGCATTCTGAGGGAAGATCAGAAGTCAGAACATGGTACCCCACCACTCAGTTTAAGAACAGAGGTCCCACGAAAAGAGTGAAACTCCACTGACAAGGTGGGGTGGGGGAGGGGAGGCAGAATCCTCCACAAAGCCATGGTGGAAGCTCATCATATTCCACATAAGAACAAAGACAAGACGGGTCAGACTAAAGGCCTCTCTCATTCAGCACTCTTGTGCCCACAACCCACAAGCTCTAAGCGTCTTCCTGCTTACATTACCCAGCAACTGATGTGGAAAGGCGTATGTATCTGATACTGGAGACTGCGTAAAGCAATTATGTCTAGTGGCAGTCAAGGACCTTCTCCTCTCTGAATCTGTTTACGCCCTCCCCTCCCAGCCAAGAAGCAGCATTTGCCAATCCCATTGTGGGACAAATTCAATTAGCCTTGACAGAGACTACTGTTCTGGGTGACTGGCAACTTCTCTCTGCTCCATTTCCTTCAAGATCCTGCACATTCCATGGCACAGGGTTCATATGAGAAAAGAGTGTCCATAGAGAAGAGTGGTGAACCTTGGAGTGCTAGCTATGTATGTGGGGTGGACTTGCAGTGCAACCCTATCCACGTCCATCTAGAAGTAAGTCTAGCTGAGCTCTGTGAAACCTAGTCCAAGGTAAACGCTTGCAGGATTGTTGCCTCCATATGCTTCTAAGGCAGACAACACCAGAGGCTCCTTTTTATATAAGAGATGGGCAAATGAAGGTTGTCCCTGCTTGTTCCCTTCTGTAAGACCTCAGTCAAAAGTGCCTTCCTTTATTTCTTTTGCTAGAATCCTGGTGTCCATGAGCGGAAACCAATTCATTTAGGGTAGCCATTCTCAATGGCGGCCATATGGCCCCCTGGGAGGTCCTAGGACATTAGAAGGGGGCCACGGACTGGAAACAATTCTGCACACACCATCTTATAAGGTTTGCAATGTGACTTCTACAATCCTGATTCAGCATATACTTCTTTCATATTGTGTTTATGGCCATGGCAAAATAAACTAGTTAGTTAGTTAGTTAGTTAGTTAGTTAGTTAGTTAGTTAGTTAGTTAGTTAGTTAGTTAGTTAGTTAGTTAGTTAGTTAGTTAGTTAGTTAGTTAGTTAGTTAGTTATTAGTTAGTTAGTTAGTTAGTTAGTTAGTTAGTTAGTTAGTTAGTTAGTTAGTTAGTTAGTTAAGGTAGGTAGGTAGGTAGGTAGGTAATGGCTGATTTAGAGAGCAGAGGAAAGTGAAGCCAATGTCAAATTATCCCCATTGGTACCATAAGGGGTGACTGGGATATTCAAGTACAAGGCTGTATTTGAGATATTTTAAAGCAAGAATTCCAATTGGCCAGTTCAAGGGTAGGAGATTTAATGCATGTTAAACTCTTGCCAGTCTATTGCAAACCATCAAGTGAATGGGCAGCAATTTTCACCCTACTTTCTGCTCACCATTGCTCTACCTTACTACTTTGCATCCCTTTAGTCCATTCCCCTAACCTACCTCTGGTTGTTTCATCACTCATCACTTCCACCAAACTCTAGCCCTGCTCCCAACCACTCTCTAGCCTTGCCACTCACCTTGCCATCGCTGTGACGCTTGCCCAGTTTGGTCTCTTCAGGATGGTAGAACCATTTTACTTTGACCACCATGTTGCTGCCCCAGGATTCCCACATGCTCTCAATGCGGCCAATGTATGGCAAGTGGGGTCGGCCAGCTGACAGAAAAACAGCACAGTCACCGATGCGTAGAGTCTCCTTCCCTCGTACGATGGCCTTGTAGAATAACTTTCGTGCTTTCCCCTTCATGCCACGACGCTGTAGGGAAGGGAAAGAACATGCTAAGGCAGGGTAAGCAGTGGCCTGCGTGACACAGGTGATCCCTCCTCTTCTGTGCTGCAAGGCCCTTGGAGTTTATGGAAGGGATTCTGACTGTTGCCATGGAAACAAAGCTCTCAGAGCAGCATCAACAGTGGAACATGTTGTCCAGAGCCTATAGCAACTGAGCTTAACTGAGGGGCCCTTATGTAGCAAAAACAGCTAGGTTCCAGAAAGAATCCCTACCATTTCCCCCTTAACAAGGCCTGAGAGAAGATAACCAACAAAAATTACCAAATGCCTTGTTGGTCTTCTCCAAAGTGTTTGTGTCCATGAGGGACTTGTTGGCATGAACTGCAGTCTAGGAATAAGATGTGCAGAACACAGCTGATGCCTCATAGGCAATGATTAAAATAAGGCTGTGTAAAAAAGTACAGATCTAAGCCCACTGTATTCTCCAGTGCGAGATATACAGTACCCTCATCTTACTGCTCTCCTTTTAAAGAAAGGTGACTTGTGGACAGCTGTAATTATGAAGCCTCAACTAGAGCACTGTTGCAAAATTCTTGCATGAAGAATAATTGGGACTGATGAATGACAGTTAAAAAGGCATAGGCCAAGTGCTTGTTGGCATGAACTGCAGTCTAGGAATAAGGTGTGCAGAACACAGCTGGTGCCTTGTAGGCAATGATTAAAATCAGGCTGTGTAAAAAAGTACAGATCTAAGCCTACTGTATTCTCCAGTGCGAGATATATCCCTCATCTTACTGCTCTCCTTTTAAAGAAAGCTGACTTGTGGATGGCTGTAATTATGAAGCCTCAACTACAGCATATGGGCACCGTTGCAAAATTCTTGCATGAAGAATAATTAGGACTGATGAATGACAGTTAATAAGGCATAGGCCAAGTTTGGGCACTTGGGCACCTCAGACTAATAGGCAAGATACAAACATGCACAGCCACTTCACTCCTCCTTTCATAACAGTGGGTGAAGAAGTCAAGAAATCATCACCTACGCTCAGTCTCCTGTTGCATCTGAGGCCATGAAGAATAGTTTCCAATTTTGGACACAACAGAAAGCTAAGATTAAATGAAGACTCTTGATTTGTTTCCTGGCCTGCACAAAGGCAGGAGTAAAAGTATGTGTGCACAAGGGCACAGAGTTCATTCATGTCCTAGCTTATTAGGTTGAGGTGAGACCATCCAGACAGCATCACAGAGTCCCCGGCAAGCCCGGAGGCCTCAGCAACCATCCAGGGTCCCCCTAAAAGGGCCCAATTCATTCATGTCCTAGCTTATTAGGTTGAGTTGAGACCATCCAGACAGCATCACAGTCCCCGGCAAGCCCGGAGACCTCAGCAACCATCCAGGGGCTCCCTGCAAGGGCCCAGGCACTGTGATCCTTACACATGTCCCCAGGGCAGTTTTGCCACCAAGTCCTGATCCTACTTACACAATAAGCCAATCCAACCATGCTCAGTGGCATGTAATTCTGACCCCAAGAGTTCTGATCCCAAGACTGCAACGTTAGCATTCTAATTTGCTAGTCTCAAAGCATTGTGAAAACAGCATCTTGTGGTTCTTTTGTCACAAAATACAGAAAGGGAAATTTGGTCTTTCCGTTCTGATCTAGGACAGGAAGGCAGTCTGAAGAGAAGAGCAAACTTCCCAAGTTTAGCCTGCCCTCTTGTCAAAAGTCACAGAATGACTGGGATCGATAACCACACATATGAATCACTTCCTTCCCACATTTCCTTTTAGCTCTCTCAGAATGCCTCGTCCACCCCACCTCACCCCTGCCAATCTTAAATCTCTTCGGCAACTCTGTCTTAACAAGTGGAAAGGCAAATTCAAATGATATTTCTTGACTTGCAAAATAAGGTTCAGTCCTTGTTAAATGTGGAAGATGTTTTTTTGGAGCAAAATTCTAAAAGCTCTGTTCAACTTCCAGCCTTTTCCCTTACCTGAGTGGGATTCCCAGACCACTTCCAGAGCTGGCGTGCAGGAAGGAAAGCAGAGATCTTTGGCCGGTTTTCCACCGAGGGCAGGCGCTGCCGGCGGGAGAACTCTTTGGCTTTAGAGAAGCTCAGGGCCTCCTTGCGCCTGAGCTTGCCCTTGGCACCAGCGGCAAAGCACCTCTGCAGGGTACTGCTCTTTGAACGAAGGGCTTCAGACTGAGCCAGCAGGGCAGGAACGGGGTGTGTGAGACAGGTCTGCACAAGCAAGGTGGGGTCCTCATCATCAGAACTGTAGGAAGAGTCCTCGTTGTCAGAGGAACAGAGGCTAGAGGTGGAGCCTGAGCCAGAGCTTGAAGACGTGGATGATCCAGAAGAAGACGAAGAGACGGAAAGGCGTGTCAGGAAGCGAGATGGGACGCTGCCCCTCAGTTCGTCCACTTCATCTTCGTCCGAGTAAGAGCTGTGGCAGTCACTGTCACAGTGCAGCCCATACTCTGCTTGACCCGTGTACTTGCGTAACGCCAACCCTATGGGCAGGGCACTCTTCTTCTCCTTGATCCCTAGGCCTGGGTGAGCATAGCCGTGGCCAGGTAGGGGCCCAAAGTCTTTGTCGCTCATCAACAAGGCTTTGCAGTTTTTGTTCTTGGGTGAGGTCACACCCTCATGGTCCAGCTTGACCAGATACTCACCACCCACTTTCCGACGCCCTCCTTTGCCCATCTCAGCGTCCAACCGCTCGGCCTTCTTGGCGCGCAAGAGCTTTTGGGTACACGGCAGCACCAGGCCAGCACTTCCAAAAGTTGAGTAGGAGTTGGCAATGCGGCTGAATGAGTCTGAGCCAAAACCATTGCCAAAAATGGGAGCAGCTACACTGTGGACGGGGAAGAGCACCTCTTTGGCACGCAGCTTCTTGCTGCTGCCATTGAGTTGGAAGAGGTTCTGTCGTAGAGCTGTGCTCTTGCTGGACGCCTTGCGCTTGTTCTGAGCCAAAGCTGACCAACTCAACAGGGGGCTGGCACGACGGCTCAGGAAGTGGTCTCCTGGCAAAGCTTTCAAACTTGAGTGCAGCACATCAGATTTACCTGGTGAAAAAGGACTGGGTTAGAGAAATACCGGTGAAGATGATCAATTGTGTTAAGGTTATTCTGTCTATATCCTTCTCAAAGAACAATCTTCAGTTTCTGTGCTTCAAAATGAATAAACTTATTATATGGACCATTTTGCTTCCACAGCAACCCACATGTTCCAGCTGAGTTCTAGATTTCTCTCAACGATGCAGCTCAGTTTTGAAGCTAAAGTTGTTATGTCTCTGGAGGAAGTATAGCAGGTATCCTTAAGAAATAGATAGTAACTAGATCGCAAGTATTGTGAAAAAGGCACTGTGCATTCTTTAGTTATCTGCACTCTCAAACAATTTATGTAGGATCTTGGCATCAGTCATAAAATGGCACAGCCCAGAGGGTAGCAGCTGCCCCTTGTTTATAGGAAGCATGCACTTCCCACTCCCTATGGTCTGCCATTCCATGATACACCCACCAGAACCTCAAGGTTTGCAAACATTCCCATGACATTGTCAAAACAATCATTTTGAAATAGGGTTAGGTAAAAAGCAAGGGCCTGTTTTGTGAAATTCTTCATCAATGTCAAAACAAGCACTCATCTGTTGGTAATATTTCATGCATCACCTGAAAAGGGCTGCAAAATTACCCATTATGCAAGAAAAATCCATAACGGGATATTGTCTGCCATGTGGCCTCTGTAGGAAGCATTGCTTTCATTCTACATGCCCACACTGATATGAATGTGATTGGTGTCAGATTTGCATCATGAGGAATCTATTAAAAATCAATCACTAGAATTATTATAACTTTAGGATGCTTTATATTGAACTAAATATTTAAGAGCAATAAGGTTGACGCAGTCAGATTTATATAATGGATAATATTGTATGGAAATGCCTCCCCCGCCTGCCTATATGTTTTTGCTTGTTTTGTATGGGTTTTTTTGTTGGTTTTGTATGTCTATATATGTTACAAAATAATTTTTTTAAAAAAAGAGTTGTGGGTCTCTTGGGATCGGCACCATGATGAGTTGTCTGAGTGGTGTGGTGTTCTTTTCTCGACATCTTACGTGGAGGAGAAACTTCGGGCACACTGAGTCTGAGTCGCTCAATGAGATGGAGCGACCAGTAGAAATAGGACTCAAATTGGGGGGGGGGGACATTGGTATCATGGTGACGTCCGCCTCGACCGGCGAAACTGGGGACTGAGCCAAAATTGGGGACTCTGGCTGGGCGGAAGGAAGCATCAGAGTGTCCTCTGAAGAATTAACTCGTATTGTGGATTGATCTTGTAGAGGCTGGTCTGGTACCAGTCCGGAGGAACAGGTTTCAGTAGATGATTTTTTCCTTTTCTTAGATTTTGAGTGGTCTAATATTGAAGGAGACTTTGGTATTGGAGTAGTCTTAGCAGAGTTTGATGTTTTGGATTTAGATTTAGACTTTTATAAGCTCTTGGAAGTAGCAGTTGGAGATGCAATAAGTGGCGCTGGAGACTGATTTGGAGGTTGATTAGTAAGAGGTGTCTTCATGGTTTGTGAGGGCTGAAGTGATTTTTGCCAGAGAAAGGACCTCAGGCGTTGTTGCCTCAATCTGAGTGCCTGCTTGGTAAATCTAATACAGTGGTACCTCGACTTACGAACTTAATCTGTATTGGAACGACGTTCATACATCGAAAAGTTCGTAAGTTGAAGTACCATTACCCATTGAAATGCATGGGAATGGAATTAATCCATTCCAGCATTTCAAAAGGCAAAAAAGCAGAGATTCCAATTTTCTGCCCTTTCTCCCTGCCTTTTTGGCTTCGGATGTCTCGAATGGCTTCCTCCGATGTCGGAGGGAAAGCCCTTTGAGACTTCCGAAGGTGCCGATTGCAGTGGCATGGACCCCCAGGCAGGTCTCCCAGGGCTTGCACGCCACCATGGGTGACCTCCCTGGGGGCCCCCGCCACCACGATCGGCACCTTTGGAGCTCTCAAAGGGCTTTCCCCCCAACATTGGAGGAAGCCCTTTGAGAGCTCCGAAGGCAAAAAGGCAGGGAGAAAGGGCAGGAAATTCAAATTTCCAGCCTTTTCTCCCTGCCTTTTTGCAGGGAGCCATTTACGAAAGGCTCCATTGGCAAAAAATGGCATTAACTTGTGAACAGGGCCTCACCCTTGTTCATGGAGCCAGCTCCGTTCGCAAGTCGATGCCAATTTTTGATAATGGAGCCATTTGTAAATCGAAAGGCTTATATCTAGGGATGTTCGGAAGTCGAGTGTTGACTGTACAAATTTGGCAGGAAGTAGTTTGATGTGATTCCCCTAAGCAGAACAGGCAGATGTTGTGGTTGTCTGTTAATGGGCTTTTATTAGAGCACAATGTGCACTTTTTGAAGGGGGAAGGAGTGCCATAAATGGCGGGAAGGGAAGCAGAGGGAAAGAGGAAAATAGGGCGGGGGGAAGCGGTCAACAAAGAAAAAGTCTTTCACGATTTCTTGATATAAAGAAGGACTGATTCTTGTGTAAATTATAGAAGATGATTGATGAACTCGAAGTAAACAATGATATTTTCTTTTCTAGGAAACACAACGGATGAAAGGCAGCTCAACAGAGGAGACCTCAGCTGAGGTGAAATAGAACTGAGGTGATTTGGAGGCCGGGTGGACCTAGTGGGCTACGGGGGCGGTCCTTGACGAACGGAGCTTAAAGCTCTAGAATATTCCGAAGATCTCTGCACAGATTAACCCGTTAGTGTGCATTCACAGAGACCACGAAGAAGAACAAAGGAATGGCCACTGAAGCAGCAGTGAGAGGAGCAGAAAGTAGTTTTGAACAGCTTTTGGAAAAGGCTGAACTCAAGACAACTGCAGCTGACAATCAGTAAAAGATTTGGTGCTGACTCAGAGACTTGTCTACAAGTCTATGCTACCTAGGTCTAATATCTTACATCTAGATCTATACCCACATTCTGCTATACTATTATTCCTCAAACCTGTCCCAATCCCCTTGATGTTTTTGGCCCCAATTTCCATGTCACTGCTTTGGCCAGCTCAGCTTCTAGGATGCCCTTTGATCATGTGGGTTCCAGCGCTGCTGTTTAATGCAGAGTCTGATTTTTGTGTACTTATGGCATAATTATGAGAGCGTTGGATCTGGACCTGGGGACCAGTTACATTCATGCATCTTGAAGCTGAATGACTTTGCCACTAATCTTATTTTGCATGGCCAGTTAGCTTTTTATCTATTGTAACTTTATTATTATTTGGATAGTTTAGAATTGCTGAATCATTTGGTGAAATATTTGGGAGTGAGTTTGTGATTATTATTAGCTGATTTTCAGAAACTGGATATTATCTTCTGACATATCTAAATGTTACACTACCTGATGCAAATTAATTTTATAATTATTCTTTTCAGTTTAACTTTTTTTCTTTTCTTTTTTTACAGGATGTGAAAACAGATACAGTCTGGGTTTTTTCTACAGGTTGTAAATTGCCTTAAATATAACAATGTAGAAAGAGGGTTTAATCATTTAAGATGAAACAAAAATGAAATAAATCCCTGTCCATACCAAAGTCCACTGAGTGGCCAAGATGGCTCACATTCTCAATCTAACATGCCTCACAAGGTTCTCATCTGGATAAAATGGGATAACCTTTGGCTTCCTCAAAGAAGGGCAAGAAGCGGGGAGACCCTATGCCTTACCAGCCTTTTCTTTACTGGCTGCCTTCTTGCTAGTGCTTTTGGTTGACTCAGAGCCCTCACGCCCCTCAGCACACAGGCTTGGTGCTGGTTCACTGGAGTGGGGAACATCACTGGAAGACCTCTTGTTACGTCGGCAGGAAGTAGAGACCAACAGCGCAGGAGAGGGCTCTGTGCCTACAGAGGGAGGAAGGGGAATTGTAAGTCTCACCCAAAGATCCAGAAGAAAGATGCCTGCTGAATCCTACAGTTAGTGTTCCATCATCTACTTTCCTCACATGCTTTCTTCCTTAGTAGTAGGCAGTATGCCTCCTCCAACACTGACTGGGGTCTCTCCTACACAACGTATTCTTATCCCAAGCACATAACCAAAACTCTCAAGACACAGAGTATTTAGCAGAGGCTCCAATATGGATGGAGCTCTGCATAAAAATGGGCAATACAATACTGCATCTCGACCAGTGGAGTCAAAATAAAATGCGAAGCATGACAGCTACAAATGGCTCTGCGTTAATCTCACCCAGGAATGCTTACACTGGATTTTGAAGTCTGGTGGCAACATGCGGATGTTAGACACTGCAATGTGTCCTGTGTCCCCATCGTCAAATTCAACCAGCACTGAATCCGTATCATCCTCTTCATCGCTTGAGGAACCTGTGGAGCAGAAATGGTCATAACTTGAGAACAAACGGAAAGGTTACACGCCAGTTGGACTGCTCAGCCACCTGCTGCACGCTCTTTTCCTCCCCACTCTGGGATGTGTCATGGCCAGCCCGTCTCACCTCGAATGACATTCCCTGGGTAGAGACAGCGGGACTTCTGGCTCCAGTAGGCACAGACCCGGGTGCCTGGTGGCAGGCTGTGACGCGACGGTGGCTGCACATCCAGAACCTGGAAAGAAACAAAGGGCCCTGGTTGTCAAGCCCACTTCGCTCTTAGCTAAGCTCCAAAAACATTGCTGACACCATCGCTTAGGCAAGGATGAGTGTACTTTATGTCCTCATACAATGATAGTCAAGGTAATGTCTGAATACAACCCAACAGAATCTGGGAAGGGAAGCTAATATTCAGATGGCAGGACTTCCACGGTTATCCGCCCTTCTTCCACTATCACCAATCGTATTCTCTTACCCTTGTCTTCTGCCTAGACACCACTGAACCAAGGAACCCTTTCCTCCAGTTACAAGGCACCATGCCGTATAACATGCAAATACAGCACACACTCAAAAGAGGTGGTTTAGAATGAACCAATGTTGCTAATAGCAACTGAATCCCAAAATCAGCAGCTCTGTGTACACTTCATTTGCATGATTTATTCTGAGTAAAACATTAGTGTTTTCCTGTGTGCAGGAACCTCTTGGTCTTTGCCATTCTGCACCGAGCTGGACAAATAAATCTGACTAAAGCACAAGCATCAGCAAAGGCTACTCTCTCAAAGGGCTCCCCTGAGAGTGGAGCAATGTGCTGCCAAAACATGCAGCATCTCTCTATGTATCCACTCAGGCACTAGGATGCACCGCTGGATGTACTAAGATATCCCTTGGAAAGGCAGAAGTCCTGTATGTCAGAATGTTGCACCACCAAAGGCAACAGCAAAGCCACTGCAAAACTTAAAAGAGGTCCAGCCCACAATAGGTCTCAGCCATTGTATGATTGCTGAAGGGCTGGGACTGCACACCAGTACTTTGTGCCTTTGTGCAAGGGCATTTAACAGGCCTTCAAGTTAGCACAAAGCAGGTGTCCTCTTTCTGGAATACACCCTGCCTGCTTTTCCCTGAAGCTATGCTACTTTAAATCCCAATATAAAGAAGGTCTGGGCTTCGCAATTGTACCATGCCTGTCTCATCAAAAATGCTTTTTTCCCCTAGCATTCTGTGCCAGGTTGCACATTTGCACAGGGGAGGAGTACTTTTTACTCCCTGCCCCACAGGTATGTCCCGTAGGTATTGTTCCCAGTTGCATGCTACAGCCCATCTTCTCCACAAGTACACACCCCAACTGTCTAAGCAGGCCTGATTAATCCCAGGCCATGATCTACTGGGACTCACCGCCTCCTGCAGCAGCTGCTCCTGGGAATAGATCCTCTGCCGGTTGCCTCGCTCCCCCTCGATGACAATGCTGTAACTACAGGAGGGACAAAGCAGTGACAGGGATTTATGCAACTAGAAGGACAGAAAAGGCGGGAAAATAATTCAACTGGGCTAATTTTGATAAATGGGGAATGGGGACATTGAACGATCAGTTTGCTGTAGGGAGGACAAAGCCCTTAGTCTTTTGGCCCAGGCGAGTCCGGTGGGAGTGCAAGGTGCTCCCAGCCCAGCTCACGGATCGGAAGAAAATGGGGCAAAAGACGGCCCTCAAAGCTCTGTTTGGGAAAAGAGGTGTAACAGCACAACAGTCCAGGTGTTAAGTCTCTCCAGTCTGACTCACTGATCCTTATTCCCTGGTGAACACAGAATGACAGGTTCATACTTCTTTTCATGGACATCATTTAAAAATGACCAAATTGTGATTTTGTGTATGTGGTTTTTTTTTTTAATCCACTATTACACCCCCTTTACAAGATGGCTAGAAGATAACAGGTAGGTCCAGATTAAACAAGGCACTCAAGTGGGAATGGAATGCAAGTCTCTCAAATGAGCTCTTTGTCCTCTGAAGCGCATGGGCTCTTTAACACAAGAGTGCTTTCTTCAGATTAGAGTAAGGGCTGGACACAGGAGAGAGACCACTGGATGTGCCCTGAATGAACGTATAGCACAGATCAACTGGCACTGCAGCTGGGGAAGATGGAACTCTTGATGGAGACCAAGCAGGTGATCTCTGGGGTGGTTATTTGAAGAAAGGGGTACATGGATCTCTCTTTAGAAGGGCTCACAAGCATCTACAAGGCTTAGGGAAGTCCTGGAACAGAGAGGAAAGGAATGGTACAGCCTTCTGAAGGATGGAGACATCATGGCAACATCTGTGCTGCCCTCCGGTCCTTGGAAGGGATGGCCCTCACTCCCTGCATGTACCACCCAGGATTGGGAAGGAGGGCCCCTTACATGTCTGGTGGCTGCAGGCTCTTTACACTACCAGCGTAGAGCAGGCTGTCCTCTTTGGGGATGAGCACCCGCAGTCCATCCTGCAGATCTTCCTTGTGGATTGTGCATGACTGGGCTGCAAAGAGAAGGCAAGGCATGAGCGCACAGCACTCCTCTCTCCATTTCCTTACACTGCCTTCAGGACACAACATGAGCTCTTCAAAAACTGTGTGGCCATCCAGGAAGTGTCTGGATTAAAGCTCTGGCTAGAGTCACATCGTTTCTGGTAAGCATATGGCAGACAATGGGCTCACCAATTGATTAGGAGACCTCATCAGCCAAGAATCCAACCCTGGGAGCTCTGCTGCATGACATCATCCCACATTGGCTCTGCACCATTCTGTCCACTCTTCCAAGTTGCCTACAGTACCAGCCTTCGCCTGACAGCCATGCACCCCAGAACAGTTCATTCCCTCAAATGATGCCTTAGCAGCAGTGCACACACCACAACATCCCATCCCTAGTACTACCTCACACCACTACCTTTCTTATCTGTACATCTTTGTTCTTGACCACCAAGCTCAGTCAACAGTGGTACTGCATTTCCACTAAACATCTTTGGCTCCTGGTTCTCCCATCAAATGTTATAGACTCTCACCGGTGTCCTGCTCTGCACCTGTGGGCGGCATCTCCTCTTCTTCAGAAAAGCTGCTGTTATCATCAAACTCAAAGTGATCCTCAATGGCAAAGCTCTCCATCAGTCGGCTGACTGCCCGGCCTTTGCACTGCGAAAGCAAAAAGCATAGTGTGTTCTTTTGCTGCATACGGGAGTGCTCCACTCGTGTGGGATAAACAGTGATTCCCCCTAGCTGAGAATGCACTAAATAAAGGACTTTCCCGTCCGGAACCAATTCAACAGCATTAATCTGGCTCTTGCAGAAAGGGGTCATTATGCATAAAAGGGTTTCGAAGAAATTCAGAGGATCTCAGCCTGCATGGAGAACTGGAGGGCTTGCCTGCATGCCTTCTTTATTTCTGGATAGGTAGCCCAATTTGTCCCTGTCTCACTTGGCCTAGTAGCTGGGCGGGGGGGGGGGCAGGTCTAGAGCTTTCAGATCTTCATAAAACACTCTAGTAGCTCTAGGGCTATATAGCTGTTGTTTTTGAGGGTGGCAGGCGCTGCTGACCTCAACAAACCCTGCACTACAGGAGGGGGTCATCTGGTCTCCTACCTGTTTGCTGACCACCTTATTCTTGACCTTGGAGAGCTTCTTGCCCTTGCTAAGGATGGCCTTAGCATTGCGAGGAGACAGTGCCAGTGTTCCATTCTTTCTCTGCCAAGAAGGCACAAGGAGAAAGGGAAGAAAGTCAGCAATGTCAAGCATACCAGACAAACATGCAGTATATCTCACAGCATCTGACCTGACACTCCTGTGGAAGGGATCTGCCCTTCCTAAAGCCTAGCAACACAGTAAGGGCCAGTCTGTTAGGCAGCAATACTGTCCTCTTGGAATAGCTGCTCCTCCTGCCATCCCACTTCACCCCTAGGTGTGCATCTGCAACCCTCTTCCCTTCTTCCCCTGCTCACCCGGAGGGCTGACTGCAAGACTTTGCTCTTGCGTGTGGCTTTCTTGAGGCGTTCACTGCTGAGCTTTACTGCATCGTCCCGAGCTGTGAATGACCGGGCCTGACTGCTAGAGAAGAGCGCCTCAGGGGTGGTTGATGTCCCAGGACTGCACTGAAGCTCCTTGGCCTTGCTCTTTAACTTCTTCTTGCTGGAGCTCTCGCATGGTCCTGTCCGACACGCTGGTATTTTCTCCAACCTCCCTACACCAGGCTTCACAGGACGCCGCTTGATTTTGACTTGGCCATCAGGACTGGGGATTCGGCAAGGCCCTGTGCAAATCCAGAAGAGCAATGTGGTAAAGCATGGAGCCAAAGGGAGCCCACATGTTATGCTGATGCTTCTCTCTGACTACACAGTTTGGTTCCCAAGACACATACAGCAGGAATAAGCTTAGGCATATCTGTATTATGGAGAAGCCCTCACCCCTCGTGGACTTGTCTCATGTCCACCTCTCTTTTAAGGCAGTAATAATAGGAGAACCTGGATCTTTTAACTTCCTATGTAGCTTTTAAGATGAACTTAGAGACTCTCTGTAACAAGAGGTGGGTGCAGAGGGATTGGTCTCTGCTACCTGGCACACATCCTTAGGCATCAGACATGAGTCAGGCATCATAAGTTTGCAGGATGGAATAACAAGCAAAACAGGAGAGCCAGATGCAATCTGACTCATATCCCCACCAAGCTTCAATGCCCAGTTCCTTGTCAGCTGGGGTGGATTTAGCATGTTAAAAAAAACACATTTCCCTTACCTAGCAAACCCTGCCTCTCCTTTTTCTTTTTCGCCTTCTGATTGGCCTCCATTTTCACTACTGAGGAGGGAGAGGGGCCAATCACAGCAGGACTGACTGTCACATGGAGGGTGGAGCTGGTGTCACTGGTCAAGTCATCACCACCACCATCATCATCGCTTTTATAGTCTTTGTGGTGATTGTCATCTGCGGATGTGGAGGAGAGTTAGTTAAAGTTGAAGAATGTAAGAGGAGCAAACAGAACATGAGGGGGAGACTCCAACTTTCATCATTCCCAACTTCACCATTTATGCCCATGCATCTTTAGCTATCATGATACATCCCACAAACAATCACCACATAGTTTTTGAGGCCTATACTCCAAAATGAACTGTGAAGTAAAGATCAATGGTTCCCAACCTTGGGTCCCTAGATGTTCTTGAACTACAACTCCCAGAAATGCTGGCCAGCATAGCTAGTAGTGAAGGCTTCTGGGAGTTTTAGTCCAAGAACATCTAAAGACCCAAGGTTGGGAACCACTGGCTTAGAGGCAATAGTTCACAAAGCATTTTATTATGGGGGATTAGCGCATTTTGTCCAGGGAGTCGCCCTCTGCAAGGCCTCTTCCCCACTCATGAATAGCAACCTGACTTCTCACCAGCCCAACATTGGTACTCCCTGGCAGCTGAGGCTACTGCAGTGAAGGCCTGAGGAATAAGCACTTAGTAAATTACTTAGCCTGGCATACTCATGGTGAGTAGAATGGTGAGGGTAAAAGCTTTTAAATAAACGAAGAAACAAAGCAAAGCAAACAAAGCTGTGAATGACTGTGTTTTAGTTGAGAATAACCTCCCTCTGTGCTGACCCCACTGTTGAGCTGGCTGTGCATCCCCCTTCCGATCTCAGCTCCTACATCCTGGCTCTCTTGCCCCTCTGACAATGTGTCTTTGTTCTTTTGGCTTTAGGGAGTGGAAGCAGGATTCCTGTCTCAGCCTTGGCTTCCTGATAAGATGCCCCAGGAGCTCCAAGGGAAACCCATAAGGCTGCAGTCAAATGGGAACGGACATTGGCCCCTGCAGAGGCCATCACATGCAGCTATTTTTAAACCCCCCGGCTTCCTCTGCTTGCCAGCAGGAAATACACTTGTGCGGCAAAACCCTGGCCAGAGCTGAGGATAATGACTTTGGGGGAATATGCACTTGCCCACGAATGCCTTGGGAGAAACCAATTGGGATAATCTTCCTCAGTGGAAAGATGCACAAACGAACAGGGATTTTGCACCTTGGGAGCTCAGCAAACAGCTCAGAGGACAAGCTCTCAGTCAGTTCCATGCAAGAGGCCACTGGCTGCCTCAGAGGGTCAGTATCCTTTTGGCAGCAGGAAGCAGAACACTTATGACTGATGTGATCCCTACATTTCACACAACCAACTTTACTTCCCTGCAAATCCCTTCTATACCTGCATCAGGATTCCCCGTGCTTGGCTTCGCCTCGGAGGAAGTGAGGTCTTGTTGTAGGTATTTGGCAGAAGGTGCGGCTTTAGAGCTCTTGGGATGAGATAGTTTCTTTTGGATCCGAGCAGCAGGGGTTGGCTCTTTCCGGCGGAATGGGCCAATGTTGGCAGGCAAGCCTTTGCTCTTGACCTTCTGCTTAAGATGGGAAACCTTGTGCACCACATTGGAAGTCAGCTTGCATTGGGAGCTACTCTTCTTGCAACGCACCTTATCCTGGAACCGTACAGAAGAAGTCTTGTTACTAACGGCAGAAGATGCACAGAATTCTCATCGTCCGGCATCTCCCTCTCCCTCCCGTTCCCTTGTGGGACAATTGTGAGAATTAAGAAATTGGAAAAGGCTGAAAAAAAAAATCTTATCTGGCTCTACTGCTATTGAAGTTGGACTCTCTATAGCCAAATCTTCTAAATCCTTCAAAGAAGGGAATTCTGTGCTTTATAGCAACTGCTCTGTTAGAAGGGACTTCCTATCTCCATTCTCTTCCTTGCAAACTAAACCCAGGACCTCACTTTTCTGTGCCAATTAACTGACATCTATTATCTGTAATGGCAATCTTTAAGATATTTGAAAACAGCAATCAGAAACCTTCTGGCCTCCTTAGACCTCAAGTGTCATTTCATATTATATTTTAAGATATATTTCTGTAACATTCTGTTTCCTGTAACTTTGTGTGTGTGTATGAAGTTACGAAACCAGTAATTTAAAAGAAGACAAAACACCAATTCAAATGGTACAATTGCTTGTTTATATTTGCTTTTTGTACATAATTAATTTTTCTAGTCTTTGAGGGTAAGTAGAAGGAGATAGCAAGCAGCAGATGTGAACATTCAAAGACTAGGAAAATATCGCACCCACTGATCCTGCTAGGTTGGGCACTGGCACCTAATGCATCATGGTTGATGCGGTGAAGATTTCTGTCTTTAAAAAGGGGACAAGAATATTGTTGCCCTTGGCTCAGATCAGGCCCCACCTATTCAAATCATTGAAGGATCACTTGTTCACCTGCAATGGAGGCTAAAGAATAAAGCTGAAGTGTTCTCACCTGTGAGCTCTTGAGGCCACCATAAGCTGTCTCTGATATTTTCCGTTTTTTCTTCTTTGGCTCCCCCTCAGCCCGCAGCTCTGCACACAGCAAAGATAAGCTTGCCTTTACTGACCTGTGAATGGGAAAAGAACGTTTGAAGAAAGTCCAGTGGAAAGATATTCAGCTCACTGTCTCCTCTATAAAATGGAGTGGAACCGACAGCCAGATCAGGTGGAGGGGTGGAGCACCATGCACAGACAGAGCCCAAGCATCATTTGGACTAAGCGGAAATGATTAGCGCTTTCCTACATGCACACCACAAATCCATCCCATATTGGTTTTGTTTGTTCACATCCCATGAATGTATTCCCTGAGCCATTCTGCATAAAAATCTTGCCTATTTTTTTTAAGAAATGAAGAACTGACTGACATCCTTTGGTTTCTTTCAAGCCTCTTTGCTTAGTTCCCTTTTGTCCCCTTTGTGTCTTATCTCTGTATTTATATGTACAACCAAACACAGTATATGAGTATTTCTCTGTGTGTGCACATGTACATACTAGACATTTCATTTTTTCACAAATGTATATTTTGCCTGTAAACCACGAGCAAAAGCAAAAGCAAAGCATGATGCTTATATACCGTCCCATAGTGCTTCAAGCACTCTCTGGGCGGTTTACAAGTTAATTATGCAGGCTACACATTGCCCCCCCCCCCCAGCGAGCTGGGTACTCATTTTACCGACCTCGGAAGGATAGAAGGCTGAGTCAATCTTGAGCCGACTACCTGGGATTGAACCCCTGGTCGTGAGCACAGTTTTGGCTGCAGTACAGCAATTTAACCACTGCACCACGAGCACTGGTTCTCAGTGCCCTAAGGATCAATGTCGCGGATTGTATGGTCATATCTCCTTTGTACTTCCTGCCTGCCTGTGCACAAAGAATATCTAGTGCTACTTGGTGGGTTTTTGATTGAGAATATCTGAAATAGAAACACAAATTTTTTGTGGGTGGCAAAAATTGCCCCGATGGCAATTTTTAGAGCACTGTATTTCTAATTGTATTTTAATTGTTTTATCTTTTTACTGTATTTAAATTGCTGTAAGCCGCCCAGAGACCTTTGGGTAGTGTGGGTGGCATATAAATGAATGAATGAATGAATGAATGAATGAATGAATGAATGAATGAATGAATAGATATGTCTATCTCTACCTAGAACTCCTACTTTAACTGCACAAGCGGTATGCTCTTATTTTTTGGAGAAGCAAGTGAGTCTGCAACTCACAGCTCTGAATACTGCCAGCATGTTATGCTCTAACACAGCTCTGATTAAGCTTTACAAGATCTAAACAACAGGCAAATAAATACAGAAAAATGAGTTTCCATAAATATTCTCAAACATCAGCCCCCTCCCTCCAGCAATGAATCCTCTGAATTTCTAGGCTACATTAGAATGTGCCTCTTTCTCTCCTTCAACCAATGTTTGACTGTATGCAGTGCTTTGTTTGCAAAAATTCCTATACGTCTGCCAGCATAGAACGAGCATGCAAACACAAACACGTTCTAACAATTTTACTCTGTCTTCTGCAATTCTATGCTGCATCTTTTGGCATAAAACATCATTTACAACTTTATTTCTAGATATCGTGGTTATGTGAAAATGTGTTGGAAAAATACAAAAATAAATTCCATTTATGTTAAAAATGTATCAGCACAATGTTTTTTTCAGGCAGAAAACTGATTATTGCCTTGGTTCACAGCATCTGGGGACTTCACTTTTTGTAAAGAGTAGAAACATGCTAGATAATAACCATTGTATTTCACAGACTGCAACACAAGGATGGACAGGGATGGGCAAACCTAGATTTGAAGTGCTTGGTCTCTTCCCCTAATGGAGCTGCCTCAGTGCTGGATGGTCACTAAAATTTAATAGGGATAAGTGCTATGTTCTACATCTAGGGGGGAAAAACCCAAACACAGAGCTTTAAGATAGGGGATACTTGGCTCAATAATACTACAAATGAGAAGGATGTTGGATTTGTTGTAGGTCAAAAGCTGAATACGAGCCAACAGTGTGATGTGGCTGCAAAAAAGGCAAATGAGATCTTAGGATGGAGTAACAGAAGTATAGTCTCCACATCCCATGAGGTACTAGTCCCCCCTCTATTCAGCACTGTTTAGGTCTCATCTTGAGCAGTGATTCTTGTTCTGAACGCTGCACTTTAAGGATGCCAACAAACTGGAGCAAGTTCAGAGGAGGGCAACAAGGATTGATCAGGGAAATGGAAACCAAGCCTTATGAGGGACCTGGCCATGTTTAGCCTTGAGAAAAGAAGACTGAGGAGAAATATGATAGTACTTTTCAAATACTTGAAAGGCTGTCATACAGAGAAGGGGCAGGATCTGTTTTCGATCATCCCAGAGTGCAGGACACATAATAATGGGCTGAAATTATAGGAAGCCATATTTAGGCTGAATATCAGGGGAAAACGTCATAGCTTTCCGAGCACTACAACAATAGAACCAATTGCTTTTTGGGGGTGGTGAATGCTGAGACATTCAAGAGAAAAATTAGACAGAGAACTATCTGTCTGATATACTTCAACTGGATTCCTGCACTGAGCCAGGGCTTGGACTCAGTGGCCTTATAGGCTCCTTCCAACTCCATTATTCTATGATTCTAAAGCACTCCTCTCCAGGCAACAACATAGCTTGAGATCTCCTCCTGCCTTTCCAGCACAGGAGGGCACAGCACGAACTAGGTGCCAAGACATCTGGGTTCTATTGAACTCCAGTTTCCTCAGGAAGCAACTTGGATGAAGGCTGAATTGTGGCAGCTGTGTAAAACAGGAGACCAAATTTCTCCTGACACATATGAAGGACTAGTTAGTATTACTAGGAAAGTCTCTGTGACTGGCAGAGAAGAAGGTGAGGCCTTACATATTGCAGAGAGCTTCATGTCTCTGTGTAAAATAATTTCTTTTATGTTCTGCACCCATATACACACATTTGAAAAGCCCCTTTGTCAGGATTGCATATTAGGAAGTTACACATCAATTTTTGTATAAAATATTCCATAAAGTCAAAATGCAGCTATTACAGACTAAACAAAGTACATAAATAATATTCAATAAAGTTTCTTCATATGGACCAATATCAAATTTTCTATAAAACAGAGTAGGAAAGTTTTACATTCCTTCCTAAAGAGTGAAAAAGCCTTAGGATGAAATAAGTGCCATTGTTCTGCAAGACATAATTACCGAAAAGGCTTAGGAAGTTATTTTCTCAAATGCCAATTAAAATAGAGTTAGTCATTGTTATAATTACTGTTTTTAATAGTAACTCTACTTTCTGCTGTGTATAGGTGATGATAATTTTCATTGCATTTAAAAACTCTGAATACTACAAGCTACTGAACTGTACTAGAAAAAACACTATCCTCCCATCTACCCCATATTGCCTCCATATCCATTACAGAGCACCAGGCCAGCAGTACAAAGCACAGAATGAGCCAGTGGCTGGAGCATATGAAAACCCTCCTCCCCTATTTGATGAGGTCATAGCGCAATACCTATAGAAAAACTCTGACCAAAAAAAAAGTTGTCAAGGCTAATTGTCATGTAGTCACATCTTCATTTTGGAAAAAAAAGGAATTCATTACAGCTAACATCATATGCAACAAGTTACTTCCAAGCTTTGCCTTCTCTGGAAAATGACAGCATTTGCCACCTGCACAGAGGGATCCTGAGGCAGCTCCTTTCCTACAGATCCTAAGTTATATGTGGGAAGACTCCTACTGGACCTCGGTAGTAGGAGAAGGTATACTTCTAGGAGACTTGGATGAACAGGGACATGGTAAAGCTTTTGCTGCATCCTCCACAGAAGAGACAAGGTTGATACCACCACATCCCCCTGTGCCTGTTTCTTGGGGGATGTGGTGGATGATGGGATCATGCTAGACCCCTACCCACCCCATATCCTGAGGCTGCTCTAGGAAAGGGAGGAGACATTCCAGGACTTTTTATGTCTTCCAGCAACATTCCAGAGCGGCTGCCACTTTTGCTGCAGCTCATTAATTCACCAGCTATGGAGGGGGCTTTGGGACAATCACCTCTTTCAGTGGAGCTTGTCAGAAGATTTTATGAGCAGGGGGATTGCCAGAGGAACTACAGTGTAGTGCTTGCCCAGGCAGCTTAACTCCCTCAGCACCAAAAGGAGAGCAATACGGGTGGCAACATGAATTGTGTAAAGGGTCTCAGTGCCACTCTTTCGTTCTGCTCTGAAGGGACAAGCTTCATGGGTGGGGGAAGATGGGCAGCATATCTTAGAAGAACCAGGAAGCCAGGAGATACCTCAAAGGTGCAGACTTCAACACATGCACACAGTAAAGACTACCGTTCTGGATTAAAATTGCTTCAATGTGCTGATGTGCCATATTCTCAGACTAAGCCATTCTCAAATATTGGGTTGGTTTGACTGTCTTCTCTTCCTAACTTTGAACATTTGTTCTACTTGGTGGGATGTGTGGGGAAGAAGAACTGCAGGGGCTCATGGCAAAATAGGAGGATGTATCACAGGTCTTTAAGGAAAGCAGGACAGAGGCTGGGAGACATGAGGAAGGAACAGTGGGGAGTGCAGATGTCTCACTCTCTTGATTAATGAGTCTCTATATTCCTAGAGCTGTAGCAAAACTCCCACATGGATCAGTCTTGCAATGTTTCTGTATGTACAGGCAAGTAAGAAGCTAGGCTTCTCCACAGGGTATATACATATACCAAGCACAATGGGCATCAGAAAAACTAAAACGACCACATTAACTACTATACCACAAAGTGCTTTCTGTCCAGCACTTACACAAACGCAAAGTGATCCTAAGAGTTTAAGAGAAACTGGCAGTACAGTTTGAACTTTTATTCTACAGCTAGTACAGTATAAGAATAAAATCTGGGTTCCTCTTCTAGGTATTAGCAGTTGTTGTTAAAAGAGAAGGAAGTTCTCAGAAATTCTGCACCACCTGTGGGATTCTATATTGAGTGACCATTACTCTGCTTTACGGCAGGACTAGCAGCACGCCAATGTCAAGAGCTGTTGGTAATGACTCTGGTATGCTTGGGCATGTCTGTTAAGTTTTTTGCAT